TACTCTATAAAACTTAGCCTATTTATATTCAACAGCCATTGGTTTAGAAAATGTTTTACTTTCAATTTAATGGAACTCACTATTATACATGAAGGATAAGAAAATGTACGATTATTATTATTATATGAATTTTTCTTGTATTTTACGCGATAAAAAAAAATTATATATATATATATATATATAAGGTTACGAAATAACTCGAAGTTATGTGTAGTACATAATACATACCTGGATAATGTCCAAAAAATTAATTTTTTGTTGCGTATTGCCAATGATCTTAGGAGTATCTCTTGTACGGCAAGAGATAAACGAAATAGTAAATCATCTCTCACCATGAAGATTTGACCGCCATAAGTAAACGTAATAAGTTATTAGTAGTAATGTTATCACTTGCTCGCTATTCGTAAGTATATTTTATTATTTCTGAAGCAGCCATTGTAGAAATCTTACGACATAATAGTCTTCCAAAATTTTACCAATTTGAATAACTTAATTATTTCATTATATTATTTATATATTTATGTGCATTTATTTTTATTCCTGGATAACGAGAGTGAAGTATGACGCTGCCCGTGAAAGTGTTAATGTAAACTTCTTGTTACATACATAGGAATGAATGCAAGCATTTTTTAGACAGAGTTTTAGCCGCCCACCAAGAACCCGATTTCATTTGTTTAGTTTACGACGAACATTCGCATGCACTCATACATCGTACAACATTGACCTGAAATGAATAAGACAGAAAACACGAATTTCAACATCGATTATAAAACTGTATTTTTGTCACTGGATGTTATGTTGAAGGTATTATGTTAAACTATTACATTATTTTGAAATACGCATATATATGTAAATCGATTCGTTTAGAGCCTCGATAATGTATAAAATCCAATCGTGTACATACATTGAATACAATGTTGCAAGTTTTTAGAGTTAAAAATAGGACAAAAGTATACAAAAAATACAAATGTAACTATTATTTTAAATATATTGTGATATCATTCATAAGAATATGCAATAGAAGATGTAGCGTATTACTTAAAAATTTAAACTTGATTTTAACATGGAACTTGACATTATCTCGGGGTCGAATAAGTCATCACCACATGCCACGTTTCGATACCGTACAATTTCCAAATGAAATCTTTTTCTTCATTTCTGATACTTAGAGAAATAATAACATGCAGACACTTAAAACGGACATACGGCACATCTTTAGTCCACGATTGGCCTGGCAATCGATAATTGATAATCATTTTAGTATTAGAAATACACCGTCTGTGAATTTAGTGACATATATACAGGGTGTATAATTTTCTCAAAAAGTGGAAATATTTTATAACAGATTGATGTAAGAGATTAAAAATTCTGTAAAAGATTAGGAAGTTGTTTGTTTGGTATAAGAAACACATTATACGTCAATGGTACTTTTCTAGGTAGAGGAGATTTCAAGGTAAAGTCGATTTATCTAATAATATCATATAATTTTGAATTTGTCGATCGTCTGATTATTATCTATAAAGAATTACTAATTTATTTATTTGTCGAAAAAACATCAATTTAAGAAATAGTTAATTTTTTGAATCTTATCGTATAAAAGACAAGAAAATATATGTGCACTATACTTATGTCGTCTGTCTTTTACGCGATAAGCAATAATATATAAAAGGATATGAATAATTCTTAGTTAGTTAACCACAAGTCACGACAATGTTTAATAAAATTATTTCGCGCTGCATGTTGCCAATAATCTTAGGAGTACTCATTATAGGGCAGCTTGTACTAAACAAAACTTGCGATGTTTTTAAGAATGAAGTTTTGACTCCCGTAAGTAAATTTTATAAATGTATCCGTAAGCATATTTTATAGCATATTTTTGAAGTAGCAGTTTTATATAAGGAACGTCATTTACGTAAAAATATCGAAACTATCAATATAGAAATTTATGATAATATCTATAATATCTAATAATCTACATCTGTAATATCTAATAACCTTCTCAAAATTTTATCATTTTAAATAATTCATTAATACATATATCAATAAATAAATATTTTATGTATATATATTTTTATGTATTTGTATTTATTCGTGGGCAACCAAATTGACGTATATATATGACACTTCTCGTGAAAGTGTTAATATAACTTCCAGTTACATATATGAAATGAATGCGAGCATTTTTTAGACAAAGTTCGCGCAAAAAGCGGGATACATAACTGAAACTTACGAAGTTGTCACACAAGATGGATATATCTTGCAACTGGATAGAATTGCAGCATCGAAGAAAAGTCCTCCGTCTGATAATAAAACAGCTGTATTACTTCTTCATGGGATTTTAGATGCCTCATCTACGTGGCTTGTGGCAGGCCCTGAAAAGGCTTTAGGTACATATTATCAAATTAATCACCTGCTCTTTCCTTTCTCTTTTTAAAACAGTTTAATGAGTTCAACAAAGGAAAATTGGACAAAGAAAAGTATAAAATTGGTATGTATATACATGACGTTGCTTACTAACGTTAATTATTAACACTAAACGTACCGGCATTTTACATATACCTATCTTACCATATGGGGTCAAATGACCCCTCGCGGTACATAAGGTATGCAAAGAATTTTTCTCGATAAAAAAATAAGTCTAAGAGAAAAACAGAAAACGAGAAATCGAACAATCAGGTAATATAAGAATTTACAAAAAGTCAGATTAAGCGAAAGAAATAACAACGAATGTACGATTTTAAAGTAAATTTTGAAAAGGGGTCGTTTGACCCCGCTTGGTACGTTTAGTGTTAATCACAAATTTTCTTATTAATATTTTCCTTTAACGTATGTATTATCACTATTCTTGTTAGATATAGCTTTACAAAAATCCGAATTATCGTTTGCTTAAATAAAATTTGTAATCTTTGCCATTTGACACTATTTATTTCGTTTCTAGAAGAAACGGTATACCTAATCCACACTTCTGAAATTTTAGGCTTTATATTAGCAGATGAGGGATACGACATATGGATGGGTAATGTGCGTGGCAACAGATACTCACGAAAGCATTTGAATCTGACCATTTTAGACCCAGATTATTGGATGTTCAGGTATAATTTGAATAATTCGTCAAGATTTATCGGCAGAGATTATGTCGTTGCATTTTGATAATAATTGGCTTGTTTGTACAGTTGGCATGAAATGGGAATATACGATATGCCAGCGATGATCGATCACATTATCGAGCAAACAAAGCAGGAGAAGATTTTTATGATAACACACAGCCAGGGTGGTACTGTGTTTTTTGTGATGGTTAGTGAACGGCCAGAGTATCAAGAGAAAATTATCGCTGCTTTTGCTTTGGCCCCAGCTGTTTTCGTATCTAGAAAAAACAGTACTTTTCTACAGATATTGTCGGCTCAAGCCAATAATAACTATGTATGCTTCACAATCAAATTTTATTATTGCTAACAGTTATTGAAGTTCTTACGAAAATTTCTACTTTTATAAAATTATTATTTATCAAAAATGCTAATTAAATAAACTTACTAGTTTCAATATACTAAAAGTAGAAACAACGAAAATAAATTTCTTAGATTTTTTCATCTTTTTACAGTTCATAACGTGTTTAATAGGCATTCATGAATTTAAGCCAGTCGATACACCTATACAAATGATTATAAAAGAGATATGCCGTGATGAATCTCCTTTACAGATATTATGTGTAAACTACGTTTCCTTATTTGGTGGTATCGATGTAGAACTTAATAGGGTAATCAGACGCTAATAATAGTTCATTTTAATTAATGGTTATATTATAATAGCTTTCGATTGAACTTGATTTTATTTTTAATTTATATAGATTTCATTCTATTTTTATTTTATATAGACTCTGTTGCCTCTTATCTTGCAATACGTTCCTGCTGGTGCATCTGTTAAACAGTTTGCACATTTTGGGCAAGTGATTCAATCAGGTTAATATTCAATAATCAAACATACCGATTAATTAACACTGTATAAATTCTGAAGTTACATTTTTCCTTCTTAGGCAAATTTCGCAAATTTGACTATGGCCTCGTCGGTAATATAGAGAAGTACGGCAAGATACATCCTCCTGATTATAATCTCAGCAATGTCATAATACCCGTATATTTGCATTACGGCGCTAATGATGTAATTATCGACGTTCAGGTTTGTATAGGATTTATTGAGAAGTTTCAATGTGTCTCGAATTTTTCAATCTTGCCTGCCAATTTTACAGGACGTTCAGAAGTTGTACGAAATATTACCCAATGCTCAGAAATTTCTGGTATCATCCAGGACTTTCGCGCATTTTGATTTCGTGTGGGGGAAAAATGTCAATACCTTGTTATACAGTGAAATTCTGAGTCTTATGGAGCGTTATAGAAAATAAATATTAATTATTACTTTGTTCGAGTAGTTTACACTTAATGCAGACTTTTATGTTTTACCATGTTAATAAAAATACGAATGTTAATAAAAATATGCAGTCTTGGTTTAGCCGTCGTATTATACGAACGTTCGATACATCGATCACGTGTACCTACTTACACAAAGATAGTGATAACAAAAGTATAAGTGTAATGACAACAGTACGCATTCCATATCCCAACATACGGTTTGAAATATGTATACAATCATTCGGTTTCAACTATGGATACATCGATTGATCAACACTAATTTTCTTGGATTTCTGATTATGAGTCCCTAAATTATAAACCTAACTGAGAGCAACAGATTTTCACAGAATCTCATTACCATGCTGCGAAACTCGACTCTTCATCTACTAAAGATCAAGTCTTCAAGCTGTTGGAATAGGAAAATTAATTTGACCTAAAACAATAAAATACGTTTCAAAAATCTCAAATACCCGAATATGGTCATATCTGGACAAAAAAGAAACAGTGACACATCTAACTATCTCGTATAAATCAATTGTAATCAAGAATAAATCAATAAATATAAGACTAATGTTAATCCAGACTTGAAGGATAATAAACTCCGAGTTCGAAAACATCTTTAAAAGAAATAACATCGCATACAATCATTAAGAGTAATATAGATTGGACGTTAAATGGATCCTCGTGACTTAAGGTCTGAAATACCGATCGGGAAAAATATCACTGATATGCCACGTTATCATTTTCGTGTCACATCCTATCGTACCGATTCAACAAGTTTTGCATTGCGAAAATAAAAAAAATATGGACAGTGTTGCCAGATTTGTTTCGAGAATTATTCATTGAGTTGAACGTGTTGATACTTCATCAGTGAAGGAATATAACGATTTAAAACAGAGATTGATGAAAATTGGTGAAAGATTGATGAAAGATTTACTGTATATTTGACTACTAACATCTATTTAAAGATATTAGAAAAAATTGATTGATGTATAATATTTTTATGAATAACATAGTTAGATATGACGTTTTTTAATATACAAATTTGTAAATTCACAACCTGAATGAACTAGCTTTATCCTGTAAAATTGATTTTATAAAAGTTTGAAATTATCAAATAATATTCCTACAAATATTGTTTACAACATTGACTAACTTGCATAGACCAGACGACAGAGGGTTTCGTATTCCAGAGTCTGAATTATCGACCAGTCGGTAAAGTAGCTGGTGTTTAGCGTCCTCTATGCTCAAATAACGCTCAAATAACGGTGAATTAGAGAACTACGTCAAATAAAATGATACAGTTGGTTCAAGATATCCATTACAGTATTGTTAATTGTATATTTTTAGCGCAGACGAGGTATAAATGCATATATCTCGTCTATGGCTCAAGATTCCGATACAAGAAATCAGTATCTGAAACAATTTCGTTTTATATTATGCATATTATATATATATATATATATCAAAAAGAGAGTCATAGTGTTTTAATATTAATATACACTCCATGTATATAATTATTTATACTTCATTATTTTTAAAAATAATTTTTAACTACATTACTTCTTAAATTGTTTTGGTTGGCAACTGCTGATTGACTACCATGTATTTATTTAGTTTTAAATGGCCACCTATCGAAATAAAATTTGAAGGGCGTGAGATGTGAAATTCCAAAGCTATAAAATCTTGGCTTTGAGAATTCTCTGTTTGGAAGGTAGATCAATTCAATTTTTCGAAATCTATTGTATATATTATATATATAAAATAAGAATAAGCAATTAGCAGATGATCTTAGGCCTGACAACAGATCATCACAACAGTGATTCTTTTGAAAAAAATAGAGATAAAATATTTCTTTCTTTCCTTCTTTTTATGAAAAAAAAAACAAAGGTTCAGGATAATCAAAGTAAATGTAATTTAGTAATTTTAAAGAGTTGTATTTTTAGTTGTTCTAAAAATTTATTCAAATTACCCAGGTGAGAGTATTTGACATTTCGGAGTTGAATCTGATCGGATAATTTTAATCGAGCTCGAGCGAATACTGGATTCTAAGACAACAAACAATCATGCAGTCATCTATTTTGCTAGTTTCATTATTTCATGGATTGGACCGATCGATGGAACAAAAATGTGGCAACCATGTTCAATTTTTAAATTGGCAACTATGCTTCCGTCAGGAAATCTTAAACTTGCTTTCCATTTTTTATTCTGCACGATGATGAAGCAATTAGAAAGATAATGAGAATGAACAATATTTAATGAGAATATACAATTTTGAATTTGTATAAAATTTCAATAAATTATGTAAAAATATGTAGGAATTCCGTAGTAGTATCCGCGTGGTAGGGAAGACACAAACACATGTCGAGGATTATGGTTCTTAGAAGAGATAAGCTACTGCTTTGTGCCTAACAAAACAATGATCAGCAGAAAGGATTGCTTCGAATATACATCAATTATATAATATTATATAATTAATAATTATATAATTTATCTTACAAAATCATATATTTTATATATTTTATATATATTAATTCTCGCACATTGAATGCCAGATCATTATGTTTGCTTGACTCCAATAGACATTTGTATAGATACTGTTTTAATATGAAATTCAATCTCTTTAATAAACGGTTCGTTTCGAAAAAAATTTCTCTACATTAAATGATTAGAAATGATTATTCAGATAATTAGATTTTAGTTTTGATATGATAATAATCTCCATAAGAAGATGGACAAAGATACGAGTTCATTACTTTCACTTTAAAATCATTTTGAAAATAAATCTTCCCACTTCCAATGGATGTGCGCGTTAAAATAGTGCAACTTTATTTCGAACGTTTTCTTTATAAAAACAAAAATATATTTTCACTTAAAAACAGCAAATATATTTTTATTTAAAAGCCGCATCTTATATAAAATTTGAACCATTTTTAATTTCTTTTTAATATTATGCTCTATTTTTTTCTTTTTTTTCTTAATCAGAATAACATTTAGAAAAAATTCAATCGTAGAAAAAAAAGTCATCCATTAAAAAACATTGCACTGTTGTGTAAAATCATACTACACGGTGATAGAACTTTTTAAAACAATGTCTACTAAATTCGCATTTATTTATTATGATTATTGTATATACATACATATGTATGTTTCCTCGGATTCAATTCGATAAATAAATTTTGATGCGGAAACTGTTCAACACTGTAGTGCAATACTTGACTAAGTCGATATGACAGGATGTGACACGAAAGTGGGTCATACGACCTCCTAAAATCTGGGACACGAAAAAGCATTGGATCTGGTCTATGCTAGTTAATCAATGATTGGATGCAATGTCTTTTCATATACTTCGTCTGTGTCCAATATTAACCTATTCATATATCTCGTCAGTGCCAGTGATTTTTCAGCGCACTCTACGCGTAAACAACGGTGAATTGGAGAACTACGTCAAACAAAGTGATACAAACTGGTTCAGGAAAATGTAATCCGTTACAGTGTTGTCAATTATATATCCCTAGACATGGATACAAGTAATCAGTATTGAAGTTATTCCATTTTATATTATGTATCCATATCATTCCATTTTATATTATGTATATACATATCAGAAAGAGCTCTATCCGTATTTTTTTATACTAGTACACATTTTAAATATGTAATAATTTATGCTTTACTGTTTTTAAAAATAATTTACTAATTAAATTACTTCGTAAAATTATTTTCATTTGCCATTGGCAACCATATATTTGTTTAATTTGCATAGTCACCGATCGAGGTGAAGAATTTATGAGGGACGTAAAAATCCAATGCACAGACGAGGTATATATAAATGCTCTCTAGCAATAAGCTCAAACTTCTCTTTTTCTTCCATATTGGACTTGCCAAAATTCTTCAAACTACCATCTTCAAAATGTTTCTCATGCAGACCAACTAAAAATCTTTACAATAAAAATACTCCCAACAATTAGACTATCAATCTACACAACTAGACAATCGATTATAGGGTCCCGTTTCTAGAATTAAAATTACGACAATTACGTTTGCCATAGCAAAATCTACATTGATCGAAAACGGATTCTGGAGTTGGATGTACCATCATAACAAATAAAACTAAAATAAAAAAAAGATCTTCCCACATCATCATCCATTTTTACTGGAAAAAGCTTGCGCCCATTCTTGATGCCTTAAGGCCCCCATAGACGTTGAAACATGCATGCATGGACTCCTAGGTTTCATGAAGCCTGCATCAGAGTCAGCTTGTCACCACACATCGATTCTTCAGTTTTTCGTGCGATGCCAACGTTGAAACATGTTTTAAGATGGCTCGTTTTCCAGCTAATGCTAGAAGTCTACTCCTGCATCAGTGATGCATGCATCGCAGCATGTTTCAACGTCTTAATATGCTAATCAAACTGAACTATCGTCGTTACAGACTCGTATAGACTATATAATACAAGTCTATGGAAGAAAATCATAGAAATATTTTGATAGATCATTGCGATAAATACGACGAGGTTCCGATATTTTTATTATAAATCTTCAAACATATTTACAACAAATTCTTACTTTTTTGATTGAAACTTCGAAAATATTACATTCCATGTGTGCCAACCTATTTTCAGTCAAACGATTTCACCGAAACTTTTCTTGACGAAGTAAATAGGGATCGACATTTTTAAAGGGAACGAAAATTACATAGTACGCTTTATAATTTCGAAGTAAAAATTTATCGAGAAAATTTGCGTAATTGAAATGTGACTTGGAAGTGGAAGTCAACGTCCAGGAAGTCAAAGACCGCGAACTATGTGTTTACTTTGCGAAATCGTGTTGTCTAGTCGGTTATAAGATTAAATAAAATTTTGCATGCTATGTCTACAAAAAATAATATCTCTTACAGAAAGAAAAAGTAATTGAATTTTTTAATTGATATTTTCTATCCAAGATATTTTATTTCGTAATACGTCAACCTTTAAATTCGTAGGCAATATTTAGTAATCTATGCGAGTGAGGTAAGAAGTAAAGAAGTATTCCAGGCACAATATTAACTCGTAAATACCAGACATCTTTGAATTAAATTGGTTATACTTGTAACACTTATTGATGTTGTTCTTATTTATTTATCTCGTTTATTTATCTGTTCTCAAACTATTCAAATAATTAATCAAAGTTTTACATTGAGCATTAGAAATCAGTTTATGTGCATTTTGTTTATGTATGAAAAAGATAGAGTTTTGAAAATTTATAGGGGACATTAATTCAATACAAATCATACACAGAGTGTTGTGATAGATGCAAACAGTTCTTCTGCTTTTTTTCTTCAATGTTTTCTTCAGAAACGACTGATCATGCGTATGTTCATAATTAGCTAGCTAGGCTGAGGCTTTGATATATAAATATATATGTTTACATTTGCCATAATACAAGCTAGCTGTTACAATTGTAAATGAGTCTTATCACGCTGTGAATATTTATAAACTCAGTTACTATTCAGAGTTGATTTGGAACAGTTCCGTGTTTTTAACAGATTTAAATATTGAAACATCATTACAATAATTGTCTCAAAATAGCTTTTTTCAAAACTTGTAACATTTTCTTATATTACACTGTGTAGCGTGGGCCGCAACTGACAATGAGTGATATAGAAAAGCAATGCATAATGGATTTGAAAAGCTGCTGACAAAAGTCAATGACAAATTGCGAGTATGATTAATAGATTTCAAAGTGTTGTTAAAAATTTAGCATTGAAAATTACAGCAAAGACAAAAGAGACCAGGACGACCTACACGATTTTCGTCAACTTACGTTCGTAAAACACAGTTTTATAGTGTTGGATAAGTTCCGGAAATTTGACTATAGCGTTGCCGATAACATAAAGAAATTACCAGTGTATTTGGCTTACGCTGCCGACAATGAACTTGGTTTGTATAGCGTTAATTGCGGATCTTCAATTGGTCTCGAATTTTTCAATATTCCCTGTCAATGATTTTAAAGTGAAGTATTACCGCGCATCTTGATTTCGTGTGGGGAAAGTATGCAAATATTTCGGTACGGAATAAAATAAAATTCCAAGTTCTATGGAACGTTATATGAAATAAATATTAATTATTACTTTGTGCAAGTAATTTTCAGTATACATAGAATTTAACATATTGTAACGAAATTTTTATTAATATCTCTCGAAGGTTAATCATTTAGCTACGGCAGACTTTCATACGTCTGATTGAGAATGGTGAAATTTTTTGTCATTTTTTGTGCATTTCTCAGAAAATATATTGAAATAATCAAAACACTGAATTATGTTGCATTGAATCAATATTATTTATTTATTTGTATTCTGTGTTGAATTGTAAGTGCACAGTCTAACTTAAACTGGTTGAACAGACGAGTCGAATGGAAGAACTGCTTTTTTAAAAATATTTTTTAAAATTTTCGTTAATGTCACAGTCATTTTTTACGTAGAAAATGTGTATTTTTTTCTTAAGGAAATATTTTTCATACAAGTATCGTGTGTATTGTATTCAATGGAGGAAAATTAAGATAATTTCGTGACCTTGCGGCTGTATTTGATTGTCTCTTGTGTGACGTTTTTACGTAGAAGACTACGTTCTTTACTGCATATTGCTACAACTGATGTTAATACATATTCCATATTAATTATATACTAATTATATTTCATAAACATTTGTTGTGTAATCAGCTCTAACACTTTTCGCGTTGTATTGGCGTTATCTATCTACAACAATAATTACAATTTCGTTATTAAATAAAAATTAATAATTTGTTGCACTCTAGTTACACCCAGAAATAATTAGTTATTTAACCTGAAACGAATAAGATAGATGAAAAAAAAAAAGAACAACAGCGAATTTTTGACAAAAGAAGACATGTTGAAGAATAACCGGATTTATGATATACCATTATGAAATATATAAAAATTCGATCGCAATAAATGTGATTTAATATTGGATGTAGTTGTTGCAAATTTTTAGAGTTAGTAACTGAACCAAAGTTTTCGAAAAATACTAGAGTATCTAGTGTTTTAAATATATCTCTATGTCTTTACATGGATATGCAATAAAAAAATGTAGGGTCTTATTCAAAAATTTAAACGTGACCATCACGGGATCCTCCGTCGTTATCTCAAGGTCGAACGATTATCACGTGTCATCATCGATACCCTACATTTTTCAAATGAAACATTTCTTCGCATTTCAGATACAGAAATGACGTGTAGGCACTTAGAACGAACATAGTGTATATTTTTAATCGACGATTGATCTGATAATTGATAGCGATTTAATTCGCTATTTTTTGACGTAGAAATATACCATCTGAGAACTAGATAATATATCGTTCGTTTATCTGATAAATAATTAAAGTTGTAACAAAACTGTTCGTGCAAAATGGCAAATTATGCGTTAGTCTGGGTGATATAGATTGCGTGGCCAAGATAATTTTTCTAATAATAAACCAAACAATTTTAAATGCCTCGATTTATTGGCTAATTCTTTATAAGAAAATATTAACATACTGTTTGGTTAAGAAAAAAAAATATATATATATAAATATAATATATATAATATATAATATATAATATATATTATATATATGTTATAAATATATATATATATATATTTAATATATGTTTATGTTGCCGTTATCTTTTAAGCGTTAAGCTTATACAAAAAAATATTCTATATAAGCATGATGAAAAATTCGCCATGGTTACTTACAATTAAACACGCATCAACAATCATTGTTCAGAAAATTAATTTTGCACATTGTCAATAATCATGGCTGTACCCTTTTGTAGGGCACAGGATAAACGAAATTTTTGACATCATTACTGAAGATGAAGTTTTAACTGTAAGTAAATTTTGTGGAAAATTGTATTATCAGTTTCAGGCTATCCGTACGCACATTCTATGATTTTTGAAACAGGAGTTATGTTATTTACATAGAAATTACCAAATTTATAATTATAATTTATAATTATAATTTTTTTGTGATATAATAATCTCAAAATTTTATCATATAAATTAATTCATTTATTTAATTGTTTTATTTGTATCTTTTTATATACTTACATTTATACTTGGACAATGAACAAACGTTAAATCTCTAACGAATCAGAATCCTTACAATTCCAAGTGATGGAAGGAAACGTTAACATTTTCAACGAAGGAGATCTCTATAATTTCGACGAATAATCAATATGTAAAGAATTTACATATTATTTAGTTTCTCATGCCATAAAGTAGTTTCATTTACAAGTAAAATTCATCACTGACAAGGTTAGACAAAGTTCGCAGCTCATTATCACGGAATTAAACGTGTCATCAAATACTCAGACGCCACACTTGACGGCCTGTACAACTAAGAGTAAGTCGCAACAAAAAACACACGAAATAACGAGCAGTTAGTTATCACCCACGATAATGATCAAAAAATTTATTTTGTGTTGCGTGCTGTTAACTACCATAAGAGTATTCTATTTAAGGCAGTGTAAGGCAAATGACACTTCCGATGTATTCTTTAAAAATCAAGTTCCAACCTCTGTAAGTACATTTTATTGGTAATTATGTCGTCAGTTTCTCGCTATATCTAAGTTTTTATATTTTTTGAAACTATATCTAAGATTCTTCTCGCTATATCTAAGATATTATACTTTTTGAAACAGTAGTTGTAAGAAATATGAATTATTGGAACTATTATAGAAATCTATTATAAACTATTATAGAAATTTATGATATAATAATTTTCCTAAAATTTTGACATTTTCATTAATTTAATTATTTTATTACTTTATATATATATATATAAATATATAAATATATATACATATATATATATATAAATATATATATAAATATATAAATATATATATATATAAATATATAAATATATACACACATACTTCTATTTATTTTTATTCCTAGACAACTAAAGTCACGTATATATGCGAGCATTTTTTTAGACAGAAATTGCGCAAAAAGCGGGATACGTAGTCGAAACTTATGAAGTTGTCACTCAGGATGGGTATATTTTGCAAATGGATAGAGTCGCTGGATCGAAGAAAAGTCCTCCGTCTGATAATAAAACAGCTGTATTACTTCTTCATGGAATGTTAGATTGTTCGATTACGTGGCTTGTGGCAGGCCCCGAAGTTGGTCTAGGTATTGTCAAGTAAACCACTTGTCCTTCTTCCTTTTTAGAAATTGTTGGACGAAAGAAAATTCAAAACTCGTATTTATCTGTATACACAATACTGATAATTAATATTAATTAAACACTTTCTTATCAATCTTTTA